CCCCCCCCCCCCCCCCCCCCCCCCAACCTGTCAGCTCGACATTTTCAATTACCACTTTTTGCAAATCTGTTGTTGCACTTGCACTACCAAGTTCCTGCAACAAAAGGGGGGAAAGATTTTTATTTTATCCTAGTCTAGTCTGGCCTCATCCATCAGAAGAAGTGTCAGGGAGCTTGCTTCCCCCGTCTGCCAGAAAGAACACTCTGCTTGCTCAACTTGCTGCTTTGCTGCCCTGGGACTACACAGCCAAAGCAAAGTATAGTCTGACCTCTGCCATCAGCCAGAGGACTAAGCTTGCTCTGCTGTGTTGAAATAGTTAATTATTTATCTATTATGTATTTTTTTCAAAATTATTGTTCAGCCTAAGCCACTTCGGGTGTTTAGTGCAAGCAGAAAAGCAGGATACAAATATTTTAAATGAAAAATAAAGAATCTTCCAGAGTTGCATTAACAACTTTTAAAATTATAATGTTTTAAAACAATATAGATACTAGTGTCTACTGTGTGTTGTTTAACATATTAACTTTATTTACATAGGATTCCTGAAGCAGACTTTACTCAAATGATGTTGTTCCACCACTCTGTTGTATTAGCTTTCTGTATATGGCTTGTACTCTTTCAGGACAGCTTCTACATGTTATTAAATGTTTCTTCATTCTTGTTGCGTTCTCAGCATACTCCTGCCGGCAATATTTATATCTACCAACTTTCTTCCTTCCTTCGGTGGCTTGAACTTCACTATAATGATGCCACATTAGTTTGTTTTTTTTTCTGATTAGGCATTCTTATGACTACTTCAAACCAAAAGCACTAAAAAAAGTAACTGATCTTATGCAAACACTTCCAACTTCCCCGACTCAAGAAACGAAATGAAAACACTGCTCTCTGTGTTTTGCTGAACTGAAAGCAACACAAAAATGAATCACGGTTTTGGTTTTGCTTTCACTTGCAGTCTGAGATGAAATAAGAATTTTAGCTTTGGCTTGATTTGACTTACATAGCCAGTTAGGTGAATTCATAACTTGATTTTTTGGTTTGGATTATTGTGCGAGTATAGTTACTAGGGCAGTGCAAAGCAGGCCCTATTGGATTCTGATTCAGCATGATTCAATTAGTTGATTCATATCACTGTCCCTGATTCGATTTGGCCAAATTTGAATCTGAAGATTCGACACTGATTCAGAGAATCAGCAGTTCAGGTATAAATACAGCTTTAACATTTTTCTACGTACCTCGAGGTACCAGCATGGCTCATGAATGCTGCGATGCTGGGGCAGACCGAGCATCCCACAGGAGCACAGGCGGCCTCCGTGTGCTCAGCAGTGAACCCAGAAGCGGACTAGAACATACTTCCAGTCCCCTTCTGGGTCTGCTGGGAAGTATATGGAGGGGGCCCCGCCTGGCTTGGCCAGTAGCTGCGGGGGACCCCAGGTGCCTCCCAAGACCCAGGAGGCACCAGTCACTGAGCCAGTGGGGCATGGGGGGGGCCTCCCCAGTGCACTCCCCGGTGGACCAGAAGTGCTTCTGGTTCACTCCCAGGTCTGCTGTTGAACATGCTGGGGACCCCCCACACTCCTGTGGGATGCTCCATGTGCCCCCAGCATCACAGCATTCATGTGCTACCTGCTACCTAGAGGTATGTAGAAAAAGCAGTTAAAGCTGTGTCTATATCCAGATCGCCAAATCTCTCCAAATCAATTCGGAGGGTTTGGATTTGATTCGGAGAGATTAAAGGGTTCTCTGATTCAATTTGGATTCAAAGATTCGGCCACCTAATTGGGTCAAATCTCCGCTGAATCGAATCGGGGACCGAAGCTTCGCACAGCCCTAGTATTTACCCTCCTGTTTACAAATCAGTAAAACGTATATGTACTCTCTCTCTCTCACTACTTAGGGATAATCACCTGAAAAAACATTAATTACAACTTTGCCACGCTTGCCTAATATTGTACAGGCAGTCCTCGACTTACAATGTTTCGCACTTACAACGTTTGTAAATTGACACCCTGTTTCAACTTTATGATATCAGTTTTGACTTTACAATACTTGATCCGATGTGACGCCACATCAGCCAACCAGTTTGTTGCGTCACTCATCTCCCTGGAGAACATATGTCCAAACTTCCTTGGACACTTTCTTTAAGAAAGCAGACAAAACTCCAGAAAAACCTGCAGCCAATAACCCTTCAAATAGTCCAACCAAAAGCCTTTCAGAAAGTCCAGCAAAGTCACCTCAAAGAAGTCTTTCCAAATCGATATATTGTAAATAGCAATCATAAATACATTAATGCAGCTATATTATTCATCTATAATTGATCAAATACAAAATTCTGGAGTATTTTTGTGAAGCAATCCCCCCTGTATAACATTGTTTCTCCGAGTGACAAGAAATAACGGTCACAAGCTGGCAGAGGGTAGATTTAAGCTAGATATCAGGAGGTGCTACTTCACTGTCAGGGCGGGTAGGATCTGAAACCAACTTCCAAGAGAAGTGCTGGCTTCTACCCTGGGGGTCTTTAAATGGAGGCTGGATGAACACCTTGCCAGGATCGTTTGACCCCACTACTCTTTCCTGCCTATGCAGAGGGTCGGACTCAATGATCTGCTCAGGTCCCTTCCAGCCCTACCAACTACGAAACTATTATGAGAAAATTGGTTCCAAGTTGCAACATTTTGGCTTAAGACGCAGTTTTTAGGAACCAATTGCGCAGCAAGTCCAAGGACTGCCTGTATTGGCATTCATTGTTACTAATGAATTTTATGAAACAATGAATTTTTAGAAATGGAAAATTTCCCACGGAAAAATTAAGCACTGGAAAATTTTCCACCCCACATCTCTGTGAGCATCACAACATGGAAATCTATTCTTTGGATCTAGCCCCTAATTGTACCGTTCCCTAAATTCTGCTAACTTGAATTATGCCTTTAGAGGTATAAAAAATGCATGCTAAGGCACTAACAGTAAGGACACGTTGTAACTTACTCAGGGCCACTTAAGGAAATCCTAGTATATGATGCCTAATTTAGTTATTGAATGCAGTCTTATGTTGGTACATATAATTATGAGATCTGGAACCATTCTCTTCTAATGTATTCTTTGGGGGTGGGGGCGTTTTTTTATTTTCTGCTTTTTCAAGGCAGCAGTAATGTGGGAGACACACTTCCTACTGGACAGCTCTCCAACATTCCTTGGCGCAGAGCCGGGGTAAAGTACACAAACAATGAAGCCTATTTCGATGTCATTGAAGAAATAGATGCAATTATAGATAAATCAGGTAAGATGCCATGTCAACTTGAATTTCCTTTTCAAAGGCTGTTTCAACATTCCATTCAGCTCATGGGATTTAGAGAGGATTTAAATCAACTAATATGTTGCTTTTCCATCTACCAATTAAGTACATAGCTCTTTTAAAACAACGTGCACAAATATATTTTTTTATCTTGTAATAACAATATTGCCTAGGCCACTTATCCAATAAACTATTAATGCAAAAGTAATGGCCTCCACTTAGATAGTAATTGTATATGTGCTAGTACATTAATGTTTCCTAATGGAAACTTGTTTCTTTACAGCCAGAGCTTCAAGTGTGGTGGCATGCATGATCTTCTCTCTCTCTTTTCCATTTTCTTTCATTGCTGTTGTGGCTTCTCAGTCTGTGAATGGGGCATGAGCTGTTGCTCACTTGTTCCACTTACCTGTTTTCTTGTAATATTGATAGAATGCTCTTTTCAAAATAGCCATCCAGTGTTTTTAACTTTGTATACAAACTACAGCCAACTTCTCTGAGGGGTGGACAAATGTCCGTTTCCTGTCTCTTAAGAAAACGGAGGAAAAATATAAAGTCTGTAGATGTTACTCACTTAACTGGTATTTGCTTAAAAAGAAAATAAATAAAATGACATAAGCAAACTACCCCGTAAGATCTGCCTACATAGGAAATCTCTCAACTGCTCAAAACATAAGTATCTGCCACTTCAAGTAGCATCACACAAGATGTGTTCCAGTAGTGCACCATAAAACAGTCTTTTGAGATTGAAGGATTGGTATAATGACAACTAACATTCTCCTCCCCAATCCCAAACAGTTCAATGCAAACTTCAATCATGATTTCATTTTCCTTGCTGTTCTTGCAGACTGTTAATGGACAGCATCAGTTCTCTCTCTAGTGTGAAATTCTAAGGCAGCTCCAGAAACCCATGTGTATGTTGGGTGCTGAAATTCTCTAGGAGAATAAAGAGTGAAGATAACTAGCCAGATTATTTTGAGGTTTAACACAAATCTAAATGGCTCCATACCACCCAATAAGTAATATGTGTGCTTAGCCAGAAATATCTTTTATTACAAGGTTCCTGTTTATTTCTGTTCCATTCTACCTCTCCCAACAAGGTATGAGGCCGTGGGGATGGTTTGAATCTTACACAGTTAGTTGTAAGCTTGTAAAATATTCCAGTTTGTAAGGTGTTCCTGTTTTTCCCTTGAGGGATTGCGATGAAGGAATCTTGTTTCTACTTTCTGGTGAGTGTCACAGGCTTCTCTGCTCTAGAATAACATGTTACCGTATTTACATAGATAACATTAGATCCTGTTCTTTGGAAACAGACCCGTCACCAAATTAGCTTTATTATTTGGTTTTTCTTGTGGTACTTTTCACTGTCTCTTTTGTAGCTTAAAACCCCAGGAGCTCACCAAGGTTTGACATGCCTCTGTCCCCTTGTGCCACAGATGAGTGCTGTCTTGGGGAATAAGGAATTCCATGGTCTCACTTTGTCCATCTGAGTCATGAGTTCTAGATTTTTTTTTCTTTTTAATGCAGGTGTGTCTTAACTCATTCAGCCCAGTGGAACAGATCCAGACCATAGGATCATGTCACTGTTGGGGACTAGACTGCCTGACTTGATACGACCATGTTGGATAGAAATCCCGTGTTCCAACTTGAACAGTACCCAACCAGCTTACAAGCTGTTGTATGTTGTAGCTTACATGCCCCAGTAAGCCTTGTGTGCCACATGTGAAGAGAACCATTTTGTTAGGCTGGGTGTTACAGATGATAGGATCTGCACCGTACTAGCAACTGCTTCTATTCCCCCTTGCTGTAACTCATTTGCTCAGCTATCCACAATATGCTAAGTCATGTCTTTCATCCTCTTTTCAGGTTCCACAGTCTTTGCAGAAATTCAAGGTGTCATTGATTCCTGCATTAAGCTGTCAGGAATGCCAGATCTTTCTCTCTCTTTCATGGTAATGCTAACAATATAATCAGCAATCTACTTGTAAATAACTGTTGTAGTTTTATCCTCAATTAGAATTCTGCAGAAATTATTGAAATAGTGCTGTCAGCAATCCATGATTACAATGAGAGAACTCTAGCTGTTTTGTCATCATGCAGCATATTCTTTCATAATCGGCAACCATGCTAAAAAATGAAATAAGTCATCAGGTGGTTTTCATTATACTCTGACCTCATTGCTCACAGACTTCTATAGTCTTTTGCCTCTTAGCCATCACAAAGCACCATAATTTTACCAGTGTTCGACTTTAGTTCAGTAGCCTAAGAAGTGTATTCATCAAAACTAGCCCTTCGTCAGCAGGCATCCATGTTGGCAACCTTAGTTTGGATGGAAAAATTGTTCTTGCTTGCACTCAGTCCCTACAGGTCATAGCTGAGGCACTGCAATAGGATAGTGAGGGGAAACTGGCATTCCCACCATCAGGCTCCTGTTCTATGGCTATTTTAGGGTTGTTCTAAGCTGAATCCTCTCTAAAGTACTAGAAGTGCACCCACTGATAAATCAGTCCATATGGTAGCACCAATTAAAAGGAAAATTGACATCAGCAATAGACTTTTTTTGGTTGATGTGGTCAATAAATGCCATCTGCATGCATGCAGACGCAGCATACGTGTTGCCAGGAGTGCAACCTGGCACCTTAGACAGCAGTGTCCGTGGGGAGGAAGGGGAATGCGGGGGGCAGATGGAGGCCCCCACAGTGAGGGAGGGAGTGGGGCTGGAGCAGAGGCAGGTACTGCCTAGCCAGGGTGGGGCATGGGATGGAGCTAGCAGCTCATCTGGGGAGGCAGGAAGGGGAGGTAGCTCCTGCTGCTGTACACACCCTTGGGGGAGGCATGGGGGGCATATGTCCCCCAATCTGTGCAGTGTTGGGGCAGGCTGCCTGCTGCATGCTCAGGGCCAACACCAGCCTCTTCCCAGCAGCTGTGCTGGAAGGGGAGCCTACAGGGTGGGGGGGGACGGTTATGGCAAACTTTGGGGTGGCTCTAGCGCCCCCTGTAGCCTTCCCCCCCAGCACCCCCACTGCCCACCCCGAGCACAGTTGCCAAGAAGAGATGCTGGCCCTGAGCACAGAGCGGGCAGCCCGCCCTCACCCCATGCACAGATTGGGGGACACGTGCCCCCCATGCCTCCCCCAGGGGTGCATGCAGCAGCAGTAACCACCCTCTCTCCCCTTCCCCACCAGACAAGCAGGTAGATCCATCCTGTGCCCGGCCCTGGCTGGGCAGCACCCGCCCCTGCCCCAGTCGCACTCCCCTCACCACGGAGGTCTCGATCTGCCCCCCCAGACTTATCAGCTGGACACTACTCTCCAAGCTGCCGGACTACATATCGGCAATCGGATCAGTGTTAGCCAATATGGCTGGTCAATAATCAAACATTGGTATCGGCCCAAAACATCTTGATCAGTGCACCCCTATAAAGTACCAAAGGAAGGAAACGGGAATGAAGAGAAAAATGCATCAACATTGATGCCAGACATTCAACTGATATGAGAAGCTTGCTTACTTGGTTTCTTTCTGCAGAATCCAAGGTTGCTGGATGATGTCAGCTTCCATCCCTGCATTCGTTTCAAACGCTGGGAGTCTGAAAGAGTCCTCTCGTTTATTCCTCCAGATGGAAACTTCAGATTGATCTCCTACCGTGTTAGCTCACAGAAGTAAGTCGGCGTTTGCTTTGCTAGCTTTCTGTTGCAACAACTATTGATTTGCACATGGATAACTTCAAAAGCCTTGCAGAGAGTTTTGATTATCTCTGACTTGTTCTGACAATGCAAGAACTCCCATTATTTCAAGATGTGAGTTCTTTAATCTGGTGCTCTGTCTGCTCTCTAACACAGTACTTCCTAAAGAACATTAGGGATTGCTAATGGTTGTGAGCTAGCCAGAAGTGGGGTCCCAAATAGGATTGGGAACTGCTGTTCTAACATCATAAACCAGCTTTACAACAGAGATGCTGATAGCATCTGGCAGTGGCTGCTGAGCAGGCCAGCCCATTGGTAATAACAAGTCTGCTCTTGATGGCTAATATTTCGAATACCACAGAAGGTTCTGCAGTTAAGTGTTCTGTACTGATACAGTATCTTATCTTCACTGGTTTTTGCTTTGTGGGTTGTTGTTTTTTTTTAATTTAAACTAAATTGCAAACCTGTTCAAGCAAAATTTCTTTTTACTGTAGGCTAACAGTGGAATTATTCTTGGCTGGTTGTCTTTTGGCATTTTTTCTGTTGATTGTTGTAGCAAATATATTTGCATTTGAACAAATTATTATACTAGAACAGTGGTGCTCAACCTCTTTTTACAAGCGGGCCAAACATTAAAAGCAGAAATGGGCCAAGGGCCACATAGAAAGGCATTATAGTTCTATACTTCAGCACATCATAACATTAAGATTTTAAGAATATTAGCAGGGAAACATTACTTTTGCTGAACACTGAATTTTTGTTTAAAAAATTAAACCGTGGAATCGTTACAAAAAATAACAGCCATAATATTACACAAGATAATAAAATATTATTTCAGATCACAGCTGGAGATTGCCTAGGTGGCAGCATTGTACCTTTACCTCAGCTCCCTACACTTCTCAGTGGCCTACCAGGGCCTGAAAGGAGAGCCATGTGTTATGAGAGCAGTGTAGGAGGGGACCATGCTGTGCCCCAGAGCATTGGGGCTTTCTTTGAAATAACTCCCCCGCGCCTTCCCCCCCCCCCCGCCACACACACACACACCCCCACGTGCTGCAACTACCCTATGCCAGATCAGGACCCCAGGGGGATTGTGTGTTCATGAAGTCATCAGTGGCAGGTTTCCACTGCTTTTTCCCCTTTCTGCAGCCAAAGCTTGATGGGGCTGCAAAGTTCAGGAGCTGAGCATCCCTGCCATTTTCCTTTCCTACCAAGCCCTCCCTCACGGACTTGAGTGGCAGGGAAGAGGCAGCAAGCAGCAGTGGTGGTGCTCAGCTTGAAAGCTGTGGCTTTCGCCAGAGCCTATGCTGACATGCCAGTTTGCTCAGAGCTTTCGTGCAGCGCCAGAGCCCAGGATCTGAACACTACAGCTGCTTTTTTCCCTGCTGCTGAATTCAGTGTGGGAGGAGGGAGAGGTGATGCAGCTGCACTTGGCTCCTGGGTTCCAGAGCTGCATGAAAGCTCTGAGCACACAGGCATGTCAACACCATTGCCTCTCATACCCTCCTTTCCCCTGTTGCTGAACTGAGCTGCAGGAGAAAGGAGGGGACAAGTGCAGGAGTATTTACCTATGAAGACATACCAGTGATGGGCTGTTCATACTGGCTTCATGGGCTGCATCTGGCCCACGGGCCAGAGGTTGAGCACTGCTGCACTAGGATAATGCCTTGATATTGGTACTCAATGTCTTTGGAATTCTGTCTTTACCTTCTTTGGATCTTTTTACCAAAGTCTTACTTCCTACTTTTCAAGAAGAACTGTTTTTAGCTTATCCTCGCTAGAAGACAATAGATGTAAGCACCATTTAAGAATACCTATACATGTGACTCTTTTCACCATTTAAAGTGTGCTAAAGCTGTCACTTAATACACATGGGCAACTTTAGAACATTTTTTTTTAAATAGTGGAAGTTGCATTAATTAAACTTCATTGTATGTGAGACAAACTGCAGTAGTGCATCTAGTTTGCCTTTACTGCACGTGTATTTAAAAGTGGGGGGCTTTTCAACATGGTAACTGTGCAGTTTCCAGCACTCCCTGCCTCCTACTCTACAGAACTACAGCAAGGCACAAAACTCACACCAAGCCATGGAACATCTATTAAGGTTTAAGACCCTATACCTAAAGTGCATTAAGTAAATTGCAAAAGTTACAATGCCCTGCATGTGTATAGGCACACTAAAATAGTACCTTTTATACTTAGGAAATAGTACTTTGGATGGGTGAATTTAACACCAAATTTCTCTCTTCCAGCTTAGTGGCAATTCCTGTGTATGTGAAGCACATGATAAGTTTTAAGGAGAACAGTTCTTCAGGGAGATTTGATGTTACAATTGGACCTAAACAGAATATGGGGAAAACAGTGGAAGGAATTGTTATGACAGTCCACATGCCAAAAGCTGTACTTAACATGAATCTTACCGCCTCACAAGGCAGCTATACATTTGATCCAGTCACTAAAGTAAGTCTTGTGATTTTAATTCTGTCTTAATTAAAAGGTGCATGCATCACAAGCACCTTGAGCACCTGCCACCTACTGCTGCCAGCAGCAGCGGCTGTGCATCATAGGGGAGGCGGGGATCCCCACCACCCTCCACCCCCTACCTTCCCTCACACCCACACATTGCCCACCTGAGCTCAATGTTCCTGCTGCCCCCTTGGGCACAGGCTCCATGCTTCTGCCAGTCCCACACTCCCTGCCTCTGCCCAGCTGCAGTTCCCCTTGTCCCTGCCACTTCCCTACCTGCTTCCCAGAGCAAGCACAGCAGCAGGGACAGGAGGAGGAGCTGCTGAACAGGGGAGCCGATCCAGTCCGCCTGTGGCTGCAACAGTGGCAGCAGCAGCCCCACCTAAAAGCTTCATGCTGGCTGGGCCTTTTCACACACCAGGGCGGAAGCGAGGCACAGGGGCTGGGCAGGGTACAATTGGTGGGCACCCACAGGTCAGATAGAATTGCCTGGTAGGCCAGATGTGGCCTGCGGGCCATATTTTGCCTGCCCCTGCCTTAAGAGGATTAGGTAAGTTTTTCCTTTCCTCTCTCTCTTTCAGTTGTTTCTTTAATGAATGAACAGCTTTCTTGTTCACTTTTGCTAATGGTGTGCCTTTCCCTGTGTTCTTTAAGATGATGTTTACTTGTAACTGTTTCAGCAGAATTAAAACCAAGTAGGTAGTAAAGCAGCAGGCAGTTGTTTGTTGCTTTCATACTTGGTCAGAAGACCTAAACCTAAATAAAAGAGCAGCAGAAAAGTGACTCAGAGGAGCAGCAGAATTCTGCTCCTCTGCAGATATACTTCCTGCTGCTATCATTAGAGTTGAGGTGCAGAATCCTCAAGCTCTTGAGGTTTTCTTTTTCTTTTCTTTTTGGTCCCCAAGAGCAATTTTACCAGGTTGGAGTTTGAGCCAAGTTGCTCCTGCCTGTCATCTTATGTCATCTGAGCTAATTGTTACTTTTGGAATTGTTCGTCAGTTCTTGGTTTGACCACAGGGCAAAGGTTCCTCAAAGAAATCATATGGCTTAAAAAAAAATGCTTCAAGTGCCCACAACAGTGGGAGGTGGGCATGGGAGCCAAGCAACCAGAATGGAACCTAGTAAACTCTGCTTAATGACTGCAGTTGGTAGAACAGTGCAAAGTATTGATGTTGGGGTAGAAACATTGACAGTACCTCCACTTTGGGAGAAGGTTAAGGAGCACAGTGACAGTTGGTGAGGCTGCTTCCCACCAACATAATTTTATTCTGGACTCTCTCTATAGCAGAGATGCATTAATTTGTGTCTGCAGGATTGTATTATCCTAAAACCAAAACTTCACTTGCCTGTAACATTGCAATGGAGTTCACTGCACAGGACTGCACAGGGTAGAGCCAAGCTGAAGGCAGCACATTTGAATCCAAGCCTCTGCTTATCAAGTGTAACATATGGTCATGCTGCAGCTTAGGGGCGCACTGATAGAGATTTTTTTGGTCTGATACCAATGGCCAGTTTTTAAGGAGCCTTATCAGCTGATACCAATCCAATTCTGATATAAAGCTGAGCAGCTTGGAAACCAGCACTGGGCTGGTAAGTCTGGTGTGGGGGGAGGGAAGGGGCGTAGGGGGAGCAGATCGAGGTCCCTGCGGTGAGGGAGTGGGGGCCAAGGCAGGTGCTGCACCGCCAGGGTGGGGCACAGGACAGAGCTATGAGCAGCTTGTCTGGTTGGTAGGGGAGGGGGGAAAGGCGACTCCTGCTGTGGAACGTACCCCAGAAGGGCATGTGCCCACCCCCCGATCTGCGGAGGGTGAGTGTGGGCTACCACCGCAGGCTGGGGCCAGGGCTGCACCGGGTTCTTCCTGGTAGGGGTCTGGCCCAGGCTGCACTTGGGGCATGTGGCAGTGGCACTTGGGGGAGGGGGGGATTCAGCCACCCCAACATTTGCCGTGGCCCCCCACAGTCTTTCCCCAGCCCAGCCCCCTGCTGGGAGGAGCCTGGCAATGCCCCTGATCCCAGCCTGCCCTCACCCCAGACATCCAGGGATACACGCCCCCCTGTGCACTCCCAGGGTGCATGCAGTGGTGGGATCTACCCCCCTATTATCAGCCACATCAGGGAAGAAAAGCCGATTTTCCTTATATTGGTGCCAATCCAATATGGGACCGATGTATCAGTGTACTTCTACTGCAGCTGCAAAGCCGTTTCTAGAACTGCGCTGACAGGAGACTGACCTCTTTACCGATGGGGCCCATGTTCTTCTTTTTTGTTGTTGGTTAATTAGAAATAAACTTTGTGGAAAGGCCAGTAATTCACCTTTAGTTGGAAATGATTAGCCCATAAGGAACTGGAGATTTTTTCTTAGTGGCAGTACTCTTCTCTTGTGATGTGCTACTTTACTACTTTGATACAGAGTTGTTTCTGGATGTTGAAACAGTTTATAACTTCATGTGCCCAACTAACCAATCATTATTAAAAAAGGAATGAGTACGGGTGACCCTCGACATTTGCAGGGGATACGTTCTTGTGATCCCCACAAATGGTGAAATCAATGAATAAGGCACTGCGTTCATGAACACAGTGCCCCCTGTGGCTGGGGGCAGGGGGGCATGGTTGGTTTGGCAGCAGCAGGAGCTCAGTGGCGGCAAGCGCAGAGCTCCCAAGGAGCTCCTGTAAGTATATTTAAGATGCGGGTACGGCATTTGCAAATATTTGAAACTGTGAATGCCAATCCCGCAAACAGCGAGGGTTTCCTGTACTATTAAAAGCACATATCAGAGGTAAGAATAGGGAAACATGTCCAGTTAGAACTCTTACCTCTCCTAGCTAGTCCTATTGCCAAGCTGCCACAACCCTTCTTCAAGCTACAGACTAGCTTCCAAACTAGAAGCCTGATAGTAACTTGGCTTCTGAGATTTCCTACACTTATTCATTACTGTGTGTTTTAAGGTCTTAACATGGGATGTTGGCAAAATTACCCCTCAAAAGCTGCCAAATCTGAAGGGCATCGTGAATCTGCAGTCTGGAGCCCCCAAGCCAGAGGAGAATCCCAGCCTAAACATTCAGTTTAAGATACAACAGCTAGCTATTTCAGGTAAGACTATTGCACTAAACAGAAATATGGAGTCTTATGTTGAATTGGAATGTCTGCAAATCTGAATTGGGCTTAATTCAAACTAATGGTTTCTTCAAACTCTTAACAAGTTTACCTTGTAGGTAGAGAATAGTGAAATCCTGATTGATGCATCCCTCTAGAGCATTCACCCCTGCCAGCATCAGAGATGGACCACTGGTCCGACCCTAGATGGCAGAGGTTTTCAACTTTTAATAAGTGTACCCCTTCTGGGTGCATGGGGGATGGGCAGCCTGGGGCCAGGACTGCACTGGGCTGTTCCTGGGAGGGAAGCAGGGCCCAGCGCCACCGCCGACCACCCCAAGAACAGCCAAACCCAAAGTGGCCCTGGTCCCAGCCTGCCCTGCCCTACATGCAGATCCAGGGGCCCATCCTCCCCCCTGTGCCCTCCCAGGTGCATGTAGCAGCAGGAGCTCCCCCCCACCCCAGCTGGGCAGCCCCTGCCCCATTCCCTCCCCCACACAACAAACTTACTCGCTGGACCCGGCTGCTCTCCACGTGGCTGGGGTGTGTCCTGGCTGCCCACATGCTGTGCTGAGGTTGCATGCATGCACAGTTCCACGTACCCCCTGCAACCCTTTTAAATACCCCAGGGGTACACAAACCAATGCTATATGGCATGCTTATGTGCTGATAGCCATTCTTACTAAAAAGTGTCCTCTGCCCAAAACCCCCAAACTTCTACAGGGCTGGGAGGTGAGGAGGAGCCTGGAGTGTGAGGCAGTATGGCTTGCCATAATTCATTTGACTTTCATAGATCTCCCAGCAATAAAACCAATCCTGATGATTCTTTGGGTTGGGAAACTATTTTCTCACTGTTTCTTTTTTTCCCCTGCGCCCCTCCTCCCCCCCCCCCCCC